TTGTTTTAAATTAAGGCATGGGTATTCGGTTGGTTTGATTCAGTTATTTCGGATATGGGGTAATTTGAATATGTAAAAATTTGGTTCGGTTCAGGTTGTTGAAAACTCGGTTAGGGTAGCTTAGAATTTATGGAACCAAATTATAACTGAAATAATATTCAGTTGGATTTTATGATAATTTGGATCATTCATATAATTTGGATTTCGGTTGATTCAATGAAATTTGGTTCAAAAATTCAACTCGGATCCGGTGAATACTCAAAGTTTGTTGAAATTCAGATAATTTGGATTCCAGTTAGTTCAATGAAATGCGTTCAATTTTGTTTTAAAAATCAATTTCAGGTCCGGTGACTATCCGAAGTTCGATAACATTTGGTTTAATTTCGGGTATTCTCGAATATTTTGGATAAATCTAAACCGATATCCAACATTTTTATAAATACGGTTCCATTCGAGTCGGTTAAGCTTTATTCGATCCGGATAATATGCCCACATGGGTAGTTAAACCCGTCCATATTAATTTCGAATCTAGTTGGGTTTGGGTCGAATGATCGTGTTACCAATTTTGACGTCCCTAGTCATATGAAATTCCTTAAACCGGTTTTGTTATTTCGATTGCAAAAAAGGGCTAGATAAGAGATAATTTTGTATAGGGAAATTATGTTGAATAACTACAAAAAAACAAATATAATTAGCAATCTAACAAATTCCATGAGATCCAATGGTTACAAATTTAGCCACATATGCCACTTTTGATTAGAACTTAATTATAATTTTTTTTGGTTAGTTAACAAAATCATCCTTATACAATTTGCTAAATGACCAAAAACTTTTTTTTTTTTTGGTCACAAACCAAAAACTATTTAATAATTAAGAAAGTAACAAAAGTTGGGTATGTGGCAAAAAAAAACTATTGAATCTAGGTGAATTAGTTAGTTTTTTAGTTATTAAGCCCAATTTCTTTTTGTATAAACTTTCACATTCCAAGAAAAAAAAACATAACAAAAAAAGTCGCCCAAAAGAATAATTCTAACAAATTCTATAATATTAATATTAGAAATAAAATAAAAAGAGAGTGTTAAAATATATATATTTCTGCCTTCTCACTAATCTGTCGCCGTCGTTCGGCGGCTTCGATTAGCGCTGGAGTTGCTCCTCGTTTTCGTGTCTTTGCTTTTGTAGTCTATGTGTTCTATGTTCTCTTCTTTTTGCTCAGATTTTAGTTTTGTAAATCTAGAATTTTTGGATCTACTTTTTGTGTTTCTTCTTTGCAAAGGGTGTTCCTCTTTGTGTTCTAATGACCGTTGTGGCTCGGATTGATTGATTTTGATGGTATTTTGTCTTGTGCTTCGGGTTTTTACCGTCGCGGTGTGTTCTTTAGGTGGTGGTTTCAGGCGACAGCCTCATGCACAGGCTTTGCTTTATCCCCTAGGTTGTGGATGTTTGAAGACGCGTCTGGTTTCGTCTCAGTTGAACAGTTCTGGTTCTAAGAACATCATTATTGGTGATATATATGTGGGTAGTATTAAATATAAAATTATTAAAATTTGAGTAAAAAGAAGAAAGAGAGTGTTTTTGGTTAAAATTATGGGGTGTATTGAAATATAAAATTAATAAAATTTGAGTAAAGAGAAGAGATAGTGAATATTTTTGGAGAGATAGTATCAAACGTATCAACTATTTGATACTTTTGGAGAGAGAAAGAGTGTGTTTTTAATAATTTTATATTTAAAGAGAGTATAAAATTAATAAAAGTTGAGTAAATGGATGAAAGAAAAGGTATAAAGTTGAGTAAAAGAAAAAAGAGTATGTTTTGTAATAATTTTATATTTAATGATATCATGTGTGTATCATGGATAATGATGGTCTAAGAGTTGGAATTTGTGAAGTCGGTAGCGCCAGATCGCAAAGCTTCGGATTTTGTTTGACGGTGCTGCATACATGCTCTCGCTTCGGGTTCGCTTATCTTTCTTCAACTCTAGTTCTGGTCCTGTTCGATTCTGATTTGATGTTGATTGGTTATGGCTTCGTTTTCTTTGTGGTGGTGTTTTGGCTCCTATCAAGTATCAAGCTTCTAGTTACCTTCGCGTCTCTTGAATTTCTCAATCTCTGTCACCCTTGAATAGTATTCACCCTTGTTTTTGTTTGTAGATGGTTTGAGTTAGTCTGCGAGTGTCCGCGTGTTAGAGTTGGGCTCCTTCTTTTGCGGCTTCCCAGCGGTGGTCAAAGCTTTGCTTTGAGCTTAGTGTGCGCGTTTGTTCATGGACTGTGGTCTTGTAACTTGGGAGGGGTGTTCAAACTGTAGCTTCCTTCGTTTCCCTTTCTTTCTCGTCCTCTCGGGTTGCCGGTAGAGTTTGGTTTGTGTTGCCTTGTTTGGTAGCTCGTACGTATTAAGACACACTGCAGGATTATGATAGACAGGAAATCACAAAAAGGGAACAGACACGGGACGCAAATCACAAAAAAAAAAAAAAATGTGTTCTGTTTACATCATATTTAAGAATGAGATTCATAACAAAACAAGATGGGACGAGAGGGAACACAAGTTCTCGAAAAAATAATGAATATGACAATTATAAAAAGCATCTGAAATCAATCAT